TTATTATTATTATTATTATTATTATTATTATTATTATTATTATTATTATTATTATTATTATTATTATTATTTATTTGGATATTAGCTTGAAATGGGCTTCCATGACTAGCTAGAAAACAAAATTATGATTAACAGTAATAATTTATCAGATTTTTTTGACATCACAACAAATCATACAGTCACTATCATAATGGGTGGAAACGTGTTGTGGTTCACTGTATTGCTTCACTATGAACTAGACCAGCAATGGCAAACCTTTTTTGGCTTGTGTGCCAAAAATGGGGGAGCGCAGGGGGATCGAGCGCGGGCATGCCATACCCATGCTATGTGCATGACCCCAGTGTGCATGCGTGCACGACCAACACCATCCCCCATTTTTGGCGTGCTTTTTTCACCCTCCCCAGGCTCAAGTGGCTTTATGGGAGCCTGGGAGGGGGAAAACAGCCTCCCCCACCCTCCTGGAGGCCCTTTGGAGGCTTTAGGAGCTTCCCTGAAGCCTCCAGAGCATGAAAAACCGGCCCTACGGGCAAACCGGAAGTTCAGCAACGGATTTCTGGTTTGCTCGTAGGGCCAGTTTTAGCCCTTCAGAGCCTTCAGCCTTCCCTGAAGCCTCTGGAGGGCTAAAACTGGTCCTACGAACAAACCGGAAGTCCATTCCTGAACTTCCGGCTTGCCCATAGGGGCGGTTTTTCGCACTGCAGAGGCTTCCTGAAGGCAACGTGCCATAAATTCGCCATCACGGAACTAGACCATTACCTTTACAGATCTCAATTATACCACTCAATTCATAAGATTTTTTTTTAAAAAAACAAAAACATCTCCTTTTGACCAAATTTAATTTTTTATAAATGTTTAAATCAGATTTTTTTACGTTGATAATTGAATAAAATCAAGAAAAAAGTTTCTTAAAAAAATAACATTAAAAGTAGGCAATAATAGCATATATTTCAGGAAATATAGATTCATACAGACCTGCAAACAATCTAACGATGTATTAACAATTCTGGGACACTTGGATTGACATGCCAATTCAAATGGTAAGAAGTATTTGTCTGCTTCAATAAAGCTAGTCTTTGATTTCACTGGTGGAAGAGTGCTTGAGCCAGGTTTTGCTTCTCCATGAGGTGGACTAAATAAAATTGCAATAAAATAAATGAGTTAAATTTGAATTTAAAAATAGCTAGGGCTGTTATCAGAGGTGGGTTGCTCCTGGATCGAGCAAACTGGCAGTGGCAGGAGGCTCCACCCACCTGCCCAGACACTTCTGCAAACACGAGTGAACCAGTAGCACTGGAATTTACAACTCACCTCTGGCTGTTATTATATACTTGCTTTATCTTTAGTTGTATATTTAAATAGTAAAACATTTATCATTAAAACTGATACTTTAAGTCACACTTAATTTACATAGCTGATTTGTTCTACTGCTTGATGTGAATGAGGTAGACTTTCTGTTTTTGGAATCTTGATAAAGCAAAATAAATGCTTTAACTTGTATACAAATGTCTTTTAAAATAGAATTAAATGTATTATATTAATAATTATGACCTAGTACAAAATTAATAAATAACAAATCCTCTTTAGGTTTATTATTAGATTTATATGCCGCCCTTCTCCCAAGGACTTAAAAAATAGATTACAGTTTCATATGTTCAAGAAACATGTAAAAATGAATGGGATGGAACATTTAGTTCACTGTAAAAATAACAATGGTTTTTAGGAGACTCCTCTGTCTTAAGTAACTTTACAAAGAAATGAATCAGGACAATAGAGGATTCCATTAGAGAGATTCTTTTAAAAAAATCTGCTTTCTCAGGTGATATTCTGATGGATAGATGGGGAACGGTTACAGCTTTCCTTTGTTTTTAACCATGCTTCTTTTTTTGTACAAAAATGCAAAAAGATCAAAGATTTGTTGCTTCTTAACTAAGATATTCAAAGAGACATACTTGATCATTTTTTGAATTAATTTGAAGTCAAAGCTATTAGAAATTAGATATGAAAATTTAAATTTCTTTGTTTTTACAAAACTGAAGAGTTTCAATTAACTTATAGAACACTAATATATACACGACTAATCCATGATTTGTGAAATAAGCCTTAGAATCTAACCTATTATTTGTTGACATGCATATCATACTAAAGAAAAAAAATGATATTATAGATAAATGTTTATGTATGAACTAGGTCAGAATGTCTCATGATGTTTCTGCATTTCAGACATGATAAAGTGCTAAAAAGGTAGTTTATAAATCCTTCTCCCTAAAAAATAGAATGAATGGCAGATTTAATTTCCATATAGAGTCAGATATTTGTGCTTATAATCATCTCACAAATGTAAGTATTCATATTTAATATGAACAAAATTACCTTTGTTTTCCAGTTTCTGTTTTTATTTCCTCTGGAAAAAAGCAAATAAAAACTTTTGAATAAGAATGATTAAAACTATAAAATAAAACTATTTTGCACATCTCATATATAACATTTCAAATTAAGATGCTGAACTTAAAACTATAAAATAAAACTATTTCCCACATCTCATATGTAACATTTCAAATTAAGATGCTGAACTTACCTACCCCTCCCCCAATTAATAAATAAATATAAATAGCAATTTCTACTATAATATAAAATATGGGGAAAGCATGTCAATCCAATAGCATCCATAGTATTATTCCTTGTATCGTTTTCACATATTTGTGAGGGAGATTCTAGGACTACATGATAAATGGTTTTAAAGTTTGCAAACTTCATAAATGATATAATTTGAACATTGGATAGTGACAAATAAAACAACAAAAAGTATAAAACGTAAAGCAGTCACCTACAAATGTTACCTAATAATAAATCCCTAGAATTATCAGCAACAGTTCCATTGTATATTATGCCTGATCCTATTTATAGTTTTGGGGTAACATCATCAAAAGGTGCAAAAATTTGCCTGGTCAACCAAAAATGTGTAGTTTTTAGGCTGACTCTCTTCTATGGGGCAATTGCATGTCTCATACTTCACTTTCAAAATGCATATCAAAGTCACAATCTCTTACTCCTTTAATCATCTTAAAGCTAGGAACAAGGACTAAGATTCTTCAAGAAAGAGCAATTTCAATACTCCTTTTCCCCTGGGATTGAATCCAATTCAAAGGTTGTCTTTTTCCCAAATCTTGAAGATTTCTATTTCATGAAGGAACTAATTCTGCTTTTTGTATCTATTTAGTCCTATTATTAACCATACTGATTATGTACATTAAACATACTTTTATTGGTAGTTTCCCTAAAATTTGGTATATTTTGGCTTTTAATAATTATATTTCATAAAGCTTAAAACACCTACGAATGTCCAGTAATAAAAGTCACAATAGAAGATAAGCACTCCAAGCCTGAAAGCTCTCATTTCAAAACAATTTGCTGCATTTTACATTGTATTGAACACATTTGTTTATTATTTATATTGTCGTCATTTGAGAGGGTTATATAAATATTGTGCATGTAAGATGATACTTATTATTATAGTGTATTTACTCATCAGGAAATCCCTGAGATATAGATTAGACTTGGGAACTTGGAGAAAAACAATTGAAGAAGGCAAGTGCCAAGACATTCCCAAACTATCTCCCAAAAAACTGTATGAACATCTCAGGGGCTGGTTTGATGCAAAGGAGACTTATAGTTACTAATATTAAGAATACATTTGGGAATTAGGCAGTAAATTAATATGTGTAAATAAATTTTCCCTAGGGATTGTCACACATATTTTTTTCAGATCTTACTGGCATTAGATTTACTGCCTAACTCAAATTTATTACATTATTGGTTTTCCAACTGCTTTTTAAAATGAGACGTTTTCTATGGATAAAAAATAGTGAAACATTGGCATCTTTTATAATTGATTCAAAACAATATATTAAATGACATATTTAAAATATACAAACTCAGAATGAAAAAGCTTTTGAAGTATCATACATCAATTTCTTTCCTTTTATCATCATTACAAATACTTTAGAGCTAACGTTTCAAGTTTGATAAGTAATGAAGAATGAACCAATTAGAATTTCCTTAAATATATAAACAGATTTTAAATGTGCCCATATTAAAGTATTATCTGGCTTCCATAATACAATATAGTCCTACAGAATAATTTTGCCAACATGTACTTTCTTGTTGAAAATATATATTTATGCAATTAATTCTGATATTTTGTTTAATGCCTGGTATTATTCTACAGTTTTATACAGGAGAAAAATTACTGGGGTTATACTTTTTATAGAAGAGAAATTGTGGGCATTTTTAAAATTAAAATATCATAGTGTTAATATTAATAGTATCTCACAATGTTTGGAAAACAGAAATGAAGAATCAGAAAAGAAATGATCACAAAAGCCAATATAAAAAGAGATTATAGGGCTATAGAATTTCAGCTATTCTTCAACCGAGAACAAAACACTGAATTTGCAAGTAAATTCTCTTTGTCGGTGCGTGTGTATACATGCAGGGATACACACACACAAATAATGAGACATCAGTAAACCACTCCATAATCCATATTGAGATTATTTGATTTAAACGTTTTGTGCATTTTTAAGACAAGGCCAGTTTTTAACATAAATATTTATGCTACAGTACCTCGTTTATTGACTACTTGTTTAGTGATAAAATTATGATGACCCTGGGAGACTTCCAACCTGTCTTCGAAGTTGCAGCTGCAGCGTTCTTGTGGTCAGGTGATTATAATTTACAATCGTTGCAGAATTCCACAGTCATTTGATCATTATTTGCAACCTTCATAGCCAGTTCTGCTAAGTAAAGTCAATGGGGAAGCCAGCGGGAAATTACAAATCATGGTCATGTGATGTAGCAATTAACAACCACAGTCAGACCTGTTATCATGTCAATATGGTCACATGATTTTGTGTTTAATGACTTAATGACAGTTGTCAGCCCCCAATGTAGTCAGTAAGTGAGCACTACTTGAAATTCAGATTTCAGGGTTTTTTACTTATTGAGGAACTGCCAGAAGGCATACATTTGAGCATAATGAGCTGAGGAATGCCTGGAATGTATTCCTTCTGTAACATAAAGGAAAAGAAAAAAGAACCAATCAAGCTAAATTAAGTTTCCCCAGAACTTTTCTGCAGTAATGAAGTATGAGAAGTATGTGTCTGAGAACAAACTATAGTCAGTCTAAACTTCAAAGTTTTCAATAATGAATGATCAAAACATGTCTGCAGAAAAGCCTAACAGAGAAATACCTGGAAATAAACTGTAACAAATTAATCTGGTTAATTTAATTTAATTCAAATGCTTATAGGTATTAAATACCAGATCAGGAAACAAACATAAACCTTTTATCTATGTAAATAGCTCCCTATTATTTGACAAGTTGCAATTCTCTACAATAGAATCAGGTGGTGACTAATGTCAGAACTGGAGTAGAAACATAACCTTTAAGAAACAAGAGCATGGGAGGCGGATTCTTGCAACAATTAAATATATGAGATCAGGAAATAAAAGTTCCAGGCTTTTATTTAGTCGATTAGCTTCATCCTGACATAAAACATGGTAAAATTAAATTCTGCATGACAAGTCACTTATACAAACAAAACTTGTATAAATATATAAAATATATAAAAATAAGGATAACCTCCTTTTCCCTCAAAAATCTAAGGGGGACTTCATATACTTATCATTTACAAAATAAAAAAATGTATAAAAAATGTAAAATTAGAGATGGTTTTTAAATGTTACTTGGAGACAGTTTGCTACAAGTTCCCAAGTAATAGAAAATTATTTCCATCCACTTAACATTCATGCCAGCAATTATTCATTATTTATTCATGCTAACTCAAGATTTTTATTTGATTTATTATTTATTCACGCTAACTCAAGATTTGTTTTAATCCAGACTGATTAAAATGCAGCAGTCTATTTTGTATAAAACCCTAAAACAAAAACAATTCTTAGATTGCACCAGGCTAAATCCAAATCAAATATATTAAAGGTAGTCCTCGAATTGTGATGGTAATTGGGACCTGTATTTCCATTACTAAGTGATGCAGTTGTAAAGCACAATGTCATGTGACCACATTGCTTAGCAATAGCAACTTTGGCACTTCCCACTGCCATCATTATCCAAATTCTGCCAGTCATTACTCAAAAAACTCATCCAAATCTAAGCCATTCTGGGCTCAGTCCCTCCCAACTCCATGGCTCGTTTCTTCCAAGGTAAGGGACTGCCTCCCCTTCAATTCCCTCTTTTTGGCCACCCTGTACTCTGCTTTGTGGGGTGGCAAACAGTCCCAAACCCACAGAGCTCTAACTAATTTAGTACTACTATTTGATAAACCGCTATTCTTTCCTTCCTTGACTTTGTTTGTTTTTCTCTCAATTTGTGACACATTGCTGGATTGAGACCTTTTCTAGCTCAGGGTCTGGATTAGTTGATTCAGCCTGTTCCTCTGCCACTTCATCTGATTTCTATGGTGGCTGAGTGTTAGACTGGTGAAGCCATTTTTATTTGCATAAATTCACTTCTTAAAAAGATTTAAGAGCTTTTAGAATGATAAGCAACATGTTTGTAAGAGGAGATATTTGTTAGTTTATAGTGGCAAAAATTCAGGAGGAGTCTGATAGCACCTTTTTTGATTAACAAATTTATAAAAAGGTGTTAAACTTTCATGAGCTGCAGCTCCTATTATCTCTATGCATCTGGCAAGATGAGCTGCAGCTAATAACATTGATGCCTTTTTAATATTTTGTTATCTAGAAAAAGTGATACCGGACTCCTGATTTTTTTTTGTCCAAACACCGTTTTTTCCTGTGTGACTAGAATACATTCAGGTTTTGACCACACTTCAGGTTTAGCTTCAGAAAAAGAGGGGGTGATATCAGCTTTTTTCTTAAATTTGGACCAGTAGTTTATCAATCCAAAGTATGTATTTAAATACTATTTAAACAAAAGCAGGCAATTTTTTGCATATCAATTAAGCAACAGAGTAAAAAAAGTTGAGAAGGTAGTAAACTAATGGAGGCGTGAGATCATAAATCAGAACAATGTCATGCTAATTGGAAAGCAACTTTCATTAAATTTCATTAATTTTTTCAGAAATCAAATACAGCTTGACTTTCAGCAGTTCATTTAGTGACTGTTCAAAGTTATCACTGAAAAAATTATGTATGACCGTTTTTCACACTTATGACCACTGCAGAATTCCCATGGTCACATGATGAAAATTAGACAGTTTGGGGCTCAATTGTGGTCATAAGTTGAGGACTAGATGAAGGACTGAGTTATGGCCAATGGGGGAAAACCTATTTAACTCAAACTGCAAACATTTAGTTTGATTTTTTCATTGTTGTTGAAGTGAGTGCTATCACACACCTAGATAAAGAGAGTTCCAAGAG